CATTTCCCCCGCTCTAGCTCAATTCCCTGTAAAGTCTAATTAATTCTAGGTATAATTAGATGTGTGCAATGTGCATCCTTAACATCTAATTATTGCACATCGTAAATAACGATTTCAAAGCAAGTTGGGGATTTCGAGTTTTTAATAAAAACATTTGCGAAATTACTTTTCTGTTTCCGCATTTTTATTTGGATAAATTCGTTTTGTATCTATCTCTAACAATTTACGAAATTTTGGAAAATGTTTTAAACCCCCATAATATACAGGTTTTCCCACGAAACATGACAGTTGGTGAATACTGTCTTCTTCCATATATTGTTAAGTTATTTAATAACAAAGAGAATAATAAAAAATATCACATTCACATGGCAGTCATATTATAGAACAATTTGTTTCAAAGTAAACTATATTTGTGTAAAAGATTTTTTTAACGAATTACACTACAAAAAAAATAATACAGTATATGGAAGAAGACATTCAAAACTATTCACCAACTGTCATGTTTCGTAAGACACACTGTACCTTGTAACATAATGATATTATATATAGGAGAGAGAATAAAACCTGTTTTAAACTTGTATTTAATTACGTTCAAATAAACATGACAATTGAGAGACAACTTTGCAGGGAGTAAAGTCGGTTTTACCCAAGGGGGCTGGATCCTAGCTACCTCTCCGTGTGAATTAGCCTGATTGTACACTTGGGATAGTTTACTGGTAAAGGATATTAAGATATTATGGCCTATTCATACAGTACAAACATCAAATATGCAGTACGCTTTTGGAGTACAAGTGTATGGGGAGGTTTTGTATCCTGAATTTTACTCAGTTTTCTCAGAACAGTTTATTAACGATGAAATATTGCTCTGTATCAGACTGTATTAGTACGTCTTCCTGTGATAATGTAATCCTGCACACTATAAAGGAGTAGTGGATTTTAATAGTACATTGAAACAAATTCTCTATTTAAATATTTTCAGAAATCACCCCCATAGTACTGTAATATACAGATTGACCTTTGGAAGTGAAGTACAATTAGTGAAGGATTAACGAAAATCATCACTCTATATACTATAACATTGTTGGTTTCGCCTTTTAATATCTTTCATAGGACAAAGTATAAATCAAAAAAGGTTTCATACAGGGTGTCCCACATCATTTTAGATCGTGTACAGCTCTAAATTGCAATTTTCGGTACTTATCATAAAATTTAAAAAGAACGAATAATTTAAAGAAATGTTGTAAGGCTAAATTAATTAAAGCTTTATTATTATGTGCGTATTTGGCGTTAAAGCTTGGAGATAATCCAATATGATATGGGACGCTTTGTAAGACGAGAGAGGATTACAAAATTTTAAAGATATTGTTAGTCTTGCAACTTTTTTATTCACATTTGTCAAAGAAAACGTAAAAAATTGTCTCTCCATTGTCGTGTTTGCTAGAAATTGGACGTGGAAATTTTTTTATACCTTCTTTAAAAACTGAAATATAATTCTTGTTCTCGCTCACACATACTCCATCCTAATATAACATTTTACTTATTAAAGGGATAACCAGAAAACTCTGAGATAAGAAGACGACTTTTAGAATCAATATAACTTTAAAAAGAACATGAGACACAGCAATTGTGCAGTGTTAACAGACCCATTTCACTAAATTAGGAATTCAAAAAGAGTCTAGTAAAATTATTTGCTTTGAAACAGCATCAAATACACTTTAATATTGCTATAATGTCATCTTTCAATTCCACTGTTTTCTGGTTATCACTGTATATAGTGAGCAAGTTAGATTGATATCGATAAGCCACGGTTCAGTGTATAAACGTTTTGCTAAAATTATTTTCTGATACCTATAAAATTAGGGAAAAGGAAGACGATATTTATGTAATCTTATGTACATGTATATGCTGTTATAAAACAACAGTTTTTCAAGATTAAAAAGATTTCAAAGATTTGAAAATATCAGACACATGTGTAAGCTGTCATTGAGACTAATTTAAGGCTTAAGTTTATGGATCTAATTGTTGCAACTAAATTTTCCATTGAGTTTTTTTCATTAAACTGGTTTAATTATATTTGGAGGATTTTTATCATTGACGGATTCCGGGAATTGATTAAAATATGACTCAACATTGAAATTAATTCTCAACCAAGGTTGGTTTTATTTTCATCGGGCCTAACTCCTTAAGTCAAGCCTAAGATCTTGCAGCTGTCAATCACGTGACACAAGCTGCTGTTAATCACGTGACACAAGCTGCTGTTAATCACGTGACACAAGCTGTTGTCAGAGTTAAGGGTCAAAGATTGAGCGACTCGAGCCAAAGCTCACAAATCGCGGGCTCTAAAATTGGTCTGTGTACACTACATACCTGCCGTTTTTCATGTCTTTCGGACTATTAAAAGCCACAAATCTAGAAGCTTCGTCTTCCAATTTACAGATTGATGGGTACCACAGTAGTAAATAAACTTTTTACAATGCACTAAGCTGTGTTTTGATGTTAACCTAATTTTCTCATTTAAAAAAGCTGTCATATACCTTTTCCAGTATGATTATTTTTAAATTGTTGTACGAAAATTATTCAATGTTTTGAAATTTTTATACAAGATTAAAATTCTCAAAATAAAATGTTCTCCATTTATTTCGTTGGTTGGTGGAAACAGAAATGCAATTTCTTTTTAAAAGCATTCATGTACTTTGCCGGTTTTATGGTGGGGTATATGTTTTATGTTTATTTCCATGCATACTGCAGTATGTGTATGTTTAACAGTTTGGTCATTATCCCAGTAAACAGACTTTAGATCACATTTTGACCTAGTAAACATACATTTTACGTCTTTTCAATTAAAAAGCATAACATTTAGTGAGTTTAAAGATCTGTCTGAAAATACTTCCGAGTCTGAATTTGAACCTCCGAGTCTGAATTTGAACCCCCTCGAGTCTGAATTTGATCCTCCGAGTCTGAATTTGAACCTCCAAGTCTGAATTTGAACCACCGAGTCTGAATTTGAACCTCCGAGTCTGAATTTAAACCCCCGAGTCTGAATTTGAACCACCGAGTCTGAATTTGACCCTCCGAGTCTGAATTTGAACCTCCGAGTCTGAATTTGAACCCCCTTGAGTCAGAATTTGATCCTCCGAGTCTGAATTTGAGCCTCCAAGTCTGAATTTGAACCCCCGAGTCTGAATTTGAACCCCCGAGTCTGAATTTGAACCCCCGAGTCTGAATTTGAACCTCCGAGTCTGAATTTGAACCCCCGAGTCTGAATTTAAACCCCCGAGTCTGAATTTGAACCTCTGAGTCTGAATTTGAACCTCCGAGTCTGAATTTGAACCACTGAGTCTGAATTTGAACCACCGAGTCTGAATTTGAACCTCCGAGTCTGAATTTGAACCTCCAAGTCTGAATTTGAACCTTTGCGTCTGAATTTGAACCTCCAAGTCTGATCCATGAGAGCCTGAAACCTGTCCTAACCCTAAACCTGGAGTCTGACACTAAACCCGAACCTGCAGTCCTACATCTAAATCTGACCCATTACCCTCGACAAGAAGTGTCGGTTATGTCCAGTTAGAACTACTAAAAAAGTGTAAAACTGATATGCATGTTTTACAATATAGAGTGCTGTCTGACATATAATGATAAAAAAACAGTAAAAAATATAAAATGCACAGAATCATTTAAATTAATAAAAATAGTGAAAATGTCTGAAAAACCTAACATAACACGATTGAATTAAAATAAAAGGTAAGCGAATGCATCTCGCCTGAATTGTACCTTGAACCATGTAACGATAGGCAGAGGCACACCTGACACCTTGGCACTTAATATACATCTAGTTCCCGCTAGTTCAACCTACAATACGCTCAAATTAAAATTCATATTTGATGCATATTTTAGGTGAATTAACCACCAAACAGAACTGTATTTATGTTGATATATAGTTTAGGTGAATTTCCCACCAAAGGGAACTGGATTTATATTGATATATAGTTTAGGTGAATTACCCACCAAACAGAACTGGATTTATATTGATATATAGTTTAGGTGAATTACCCACCAAACAGAACCGGATCATATTGAAATATTGTTTTGGTGAATAACCCACCAAATAGAACTGGATTTATATTGATATATAGTTTAGGTGAAATTATCACAAAACAGAACTGGATTTATATTGATATATAGTTTAGGTGAATTTCCCACCAAACAGAACTGGATTTTTATTGATATATAGTTTAGGTGAATTTCCCACCAAAGGGAACTGGATTTATATTGATATATAGTTTAGGTGAATTTCCCACCAAAGGGAACTGGATTTTTATTGATATATAGTTTAGGTGAATTTCCCACCAAAGGGAACTGGATTTATATTGATATATAGTTTAGGTGAATTTCCCACCAAAGGGAACTGGATTTATATTGATATATAGTTTAGGTGAATTTCCCACCAAAGGGAACTGGATTTATATTGATATATAGTTTAGGTGAATTTCCCACCAAAGGGAACTGGATTTATATTGATATATAGTTTAGGTGAATTACCCACCAAACAGAACTGGATTTATATTGATATATAGTTTAGGTGAATTTCCCACCAAACAGAACTGGATTTATATTGATAAATAATTTAGGTGAATTTCCTACCAAACAGAACTGTATTTATATTGATATATAGTTTAGGTGAATTACCCACCAAACCAAACTGGATTTATTTTGATATATAGTTCTGAAAGTTTTAGCAAACTTTAACAACTAAGTGTTAAAGCCACCATGCTTGGCCGCCGAGCCCATCCTAGCCGCAATGCTCAGCCCAGATTAATGGGTGCAGCGCTCAGCCCAGATATAATCCCAACCCAACCTAACCCAGAAAATAGATAACATGAGCAGATAGTAATTGTTTAGCAATTAAATGTGATCAAAATGTGTAATTGTCTGTAAAAGGTTTTGAGGTTACTTAATATATGTATGGATACTGCTTATTAGGGCCTTTTAGATAGTTAGTACTTATCATGTGACCTAATGGTTGGATTTCAGTGTTAGGGCCTTACCACTATCCCGTTAAAAAGAATGAACCATGATTTTAATGATTTTGGGTATAAAATGAAAAATTTGACATCTAAAGGCAACTTTATAATGCTTTAAGATGTTTTTACCCAAAAATTCACCACTTTTAAAAGTGTGTGGGGGGGAATTATTTTTAAAGAAAATTTACGCCCTTGGAGTAACTTCGCATTTACCTTATCCTGTAGTAGATGGAGGAAGACTGGGGGAACATGTTCAGGTGGAGGATCTCCTACAGGGGAAGGAGGGCGAGGAGGGGCTTCTTCAATACATGTCTAGATTAGAGTGTACAGATTAGAGTTGTCATTCCCACACCTCCTCCACCCCTTTCCTGCATGGGCTAGCTGGAACCCCCATCCCTTGGTATCTCAGCATACTGCTATGTGTGCATGGTTTAATTAATATTCCACCATAGAGGTCAAAGTGTCTGTAGAAAGCTGAGAGAAAACAGGATTCTGCGTGCTTTCTATTACAGACTCAAATATGACCTTCATGTTAGCGCCATCTAGTGTGAGAAATGTTTTCAAAATCTACATCAACCTGATTCCGCTGGTACTCAAGTACACATATACTCTACCTGATTCCACTTGTATTCAAGTACACCTATACTCTACCTGATTCCGCTTGTACTCAAGTACAACTATACTCTACCTGATTCTGCTTATACTCAAGTACACCTATACTCTACCTGATTCCGCTTGTACTCAAGTACACATATACTCTTCCTGATTTCGTTTGTACTCAAGTACACCTATACTCTACCTGATTCCGCTTGTTCTCAAGTACACCTATACTCTACCTGATTCCGCTTGTTCTCAAGTACACCTATACTCTACCTAATTCCGCTTGTACTCTACACATACACTCTATATATATTTTCTCTAACAAGTTTAGGTTGGACAGAAACTGATCACATGTCGCAAATTCTAATTTTTTAATCCTTTTATCTTTGCAACCTGGTGGTGTAAACCTTGATATTTGAAACTAGAACTAGAATTCTAAATACGACACCAAGCTGTAAATAAACATGGGCCCTGGTAAATTAGAGTTTGAGGTGAGTTATCAGATCTTTTTTATTCTACTTCAATTTGAATTGGTACGTTTTTGATTTTGGGATTTCAAAAATTTCAATGCTACAACTTAAAAGTACCCAGAGTAGGTCAGAAAAATCTAAAAAGCTTTGCTTTACATCTCATGAAATAGAAGTTGAACCAGCTGTACCTAGTTCTTCTTACTAACTTTCTTCAAGTTATCTCCGGCTTTAACTTAAGGATGAATTCGTAAACTTTCTTAATTTTCTTATTTTACAAAAATCTTTATACCTCAGTTTGGGTTTCGGAAGTTATTTTCTTCTCCGCATATTCCTTTTCCTTTCTTCTTTTCTCCTCTTCCTCTTCTCTTCTTCTCTTTTCTTTATCTTCTTCTTCTCTTTGCTTTCTTTTTAATTCTTCTTTTTCAATTCTAATTCTTACCTCCTCTTCTTTTTTTCTTAATTCTTCTTCATTACGTAATTTAATTTCTCTAATTTCCAACTCCTTCTCTTTTCTTCTTAATTGCTCTAGTTCGTTCATTTCTTTCAATTTTGCTGCTTTTTCTGCTTCTGCAGCAGCCCGTCTTACAGCAGCTTCCTTTTCCTTGAGGTGTTGAACAGCTCTTTTTTCTGCTGCTGCTGCTTCAGCCTCAATTTTAGCTGTTTTGGCAGCCTCCTCGGCAGCTGCTATTCTTTTGTCTGTTTCAGCTTTCAATTTTCGGACCCTAGAGAAAGGAATTTGTTTAATCTTAAAAACCATTTTCTAATAAAATACAAAATGATATTTAAAGATTTAAAAAAAAACATCTATAATTAAATTCCATAAAGCTTCAGCTGGCCAATCAGGCAATTGCTACAGGAGTGAATTTATGGTATCAACAATTTAAAAAAAAAGGTTCGTCCCCTTTCAGATTTACGAACAATCCCTTTAAAATCCAAACTTACCTCTCCTCCTCCTTTTTCTCTCTTTTCAGTGATTCCTCTAATCCCAGAAATTTCTGCCGAAGTGCCTGCACCGGAAAAAAATGTGTAAAACTCTATCATCTTAAACACAAATCATAAATTAAAAAAGTTTTTGATAATTTGACAAAATTATTTTTACAAAGTATAAACTGTAGTTAAAACAAGTTCCTGAATTCCGGTGAAAGCCTCGTTGGTTTCCATGTGTAAGCTCTTTATCCGCAAGATGGCGTCGTTTCCGTAGATTTTTCCCGCCAAAGCAGTCATCTACACGTGGCAAATAAAACAATTGAATAAGAAATATCAAAAGTGTGCAACATGAGCTTGAAAAAATATAAGACTCTGATTGCCACAAACTCTGATTTTGCAAACCAATTCCGTACATTTCAAACTATGCATTCTATTAGATGAAATAGTTTAAGTTTGAATTATCAAAGGTTTACACAATTAGGTTGCAAAGATGTAGTGATTACTCTATTTATTTGTAATTGTTCAGTACCCTTTTTTCAAACCAAACGAATTTATTTAATAACCCGGTCAATAAAGTACTACATTAACCCGGTCAATAAAGTACTACATTAACCCGGTCAATAAAGTACTACATTAACGCCCGGTTATTGGGCGATAAAGTTACTGTTACTGATAGGTGTGATAAATTCATTAATAAAGTACTACATTAACGCCCGGTTATTGGGCGATAAAGTTACTGTTACTGATAGGTGTGATAAATTCATTTAAAATTGAATAAAATGTATCTATAAAACAATTATAAAGAATCAAAGTTTTTCACAGTTTGTTCGCTTTAACATAATTTTATTAGCCAGGTAACAATTTTGCAGAAATTTCGCGGAAATTCCCGGGAATCTTTCACTGGAAAATTGGAAATTGGAAAATGTCGACATAAATTAGAGATATTCTCGAGAATTAAAAAGTTGGAAACTTTAAGGAGATCTCCCCTCTTTTGTTTCCAGGGTAACATCTTGAAATGATTGAATTGTTTAGTTTCCTTGGTTATATTATCATCCTGAACTTGCTTTTCCCTTTTTATATACATTTCAATCTCCTTCACAAGTTCACTGCATCTTTCAATACACTTTTGCCCTAAAGTATTAAGTTAAAAAACCAGGAAAACAAATAATTATTTGATAATCTGAACTTGAAACACTCGACTGCCAACTTTTAAATATCCAAACATAAAAATAAGTCTCTTACCAAAGTTAATTACGTTTTTGTGAAAACCATGAAGATTGTCCCAATAAACATGAGAATTGAGAGACAACTTGAATATCGTCTTTGATTTCCGAAAATCGATAAATGACATAAAGTACATCAAAGAAAGATTGAAAGTTATCAAAGATTAGACCGTTTTATTGATTTTAAATAAACTGGAATCTGGACAAATTTCCTAATATCTCAGTGAAATTTGAATGCGGAAAAATGGTAGACCACATTTTGGAAATCCCGAGACTAGTAGTTTTCGGTGTTAAATGTTTTACTGTAAAATTACGATTAAGAAATAATAAGTCTAGGACAAAGGCGATATAGAAGTCGTCATTTAATTCCAATTTTTATTGGGACATCCTGTATATTAACTTGTTAGGAAATGTACAAACCGTAATTTTTGAAGTTATAGGAACCCACCTAGGAAACCAATAGTCTTCGTCAAATAATAGATCATTTAGACAGGACAGCATTAAAAAAAAATTGGGTTTCATGAGTTTTATGGGGTTTGAAAAATCTCAACTAGCAAATATGCCTTTTGTTGGTGAACACTCCCTGTAATTGTAAATAATCCCTTAATTGTGAATACTCTCTGTGATTGTGAACACTCTCTGTAATTGTGAACACTCCCTGTAATTGTGAACAATTCCTGTAATTGTGAACACTCCCTGTAATTGTGAACACTCCCTATAATTGTGAACACTCCCTGTAATGGTAAATAATCCCTGTAATTGTGAACACTCCCTGTAATGGTGAACAATCCTTGTAATTGTGAATAATCCCTGTAATTGTGAACAATTTTTATAATTGTAAATAATTCCTGTAATTGTGAACACTCCTTGAATTGTGAACACTCTCTGTAATTATGAATAATCCCTGTACTAGTGAACACTCCCTGTAATTGTGAACACTCCCTGTAATTATTAATAATTCCTGTACTTGTGAACACTCTCTGTAATTGTGAACACTCCCTGTAATTGTGAACACTCCCTTTAATTGTGAACACTCCCTGTGATTGTAAAAAATTCCTGTAATTGTGAACAATTCCTGTAATTGTGAACACTCCCTGTGATTGTGAACAATTCCTGTAATTGTGAACACTCCCTGTAATTGTGAATTCTCCCTATAATTGTGAACACTCCCTGTAATGGTAAATAATCCCTGTAATTGTGAACACTCCTTGTAATTGTGAATAATCCATTTGATTGTAAACACTCCTTGTAATTGTAAACAATCCCTGTAATTGTGAACACTCCCTATAATTGTGAATAATCCCTGTAATTGTGAACACTCCCTGTAATTGTGAACATTCCCTGTAATGGTGAACAATCCTTGTAATTGTGAATAATCCCTGTAATTGTGAACAATTCTTATAATTGTAAATAATTCCTGTAATTGTGAACACTCCTTGTAATTGTAAACAATCCCTGTAATTGTGAACACTCCCTATAATTATGAATAATCCCTGTAATTGTGAACACTCCCTGAAATTGTGAACACTCCCTGTAATTGTGAATACTCTCTATAATTGTGAACACTCCCTATAATTGTGATCACTCCCTATAATTGTGAACACTCCCTGTAATTGTGAACACTCCCTGTAATTGTAAACACTCCCTATAATTGTGAACACTCCCTGTAATTGTGAACAATTCCTGTAATTATGAGCAATTCCTGTAATTGTGAACACTCCCTGTGATTGTGAACAACTCCTGTAATTGTGAATAATTCCTGTACTTGCGAACACTCTCTGTAATTGTGAACACTCCCTGTAATTGTGAACACTCCCTGTAATTGTAAACACTCCCTGTAATTGTGAACACTCCCTGTAATTGAGAACACTCCCTGTTATTGTGAACACTACCTGTAATGGTGAATAATCCCTGTAATTGTGAACACTCCCTGTAACTGTGAACACTCCTTGTAATTGTGAACACTCCTTGTAATTGTGAATAATCCCTATGATTGTAAACACTCCTTGTAATTGTAAACAATCCCTGTAATTGTGAACACTCCCTATAATTGTGAATAATACCTGTAATTGTGAATACTCCCTGTAATTGTGAATAATCCCTGTAATGGTAAACAATCCCTGTAATGTTGAACAATCCTTGTAATTGTGAATAATCCCTGTAATTGTTAACAATCCCTTGTAATTGTGAACACTCCTTGTAAATGTGAACACTCCTTGTAATTGTGAACACTCCTTGTAATTGTGAACACTCCTTGTAATTGTAAACACTCCTTGTAATTTTTAATACTCCTTGTAATTGTAATTACTCCCTATAATTGTGAACACTCCTTGTAATTGTGAATACCTGTCACTTCATTAGACCAATGAAGGATACGTGTTGTTGACTGTTTAATAAAGTTTTCAGCTTTTTCTGAAAATTATAAAATTAGTGATCATTAAAATACTTAGATTAAAGGGACTGTAAGCATAGTTTGAAGTGACCCTCCATGTAAAGATTGCAATGTCAGATTTACGTTTGAAAGCTTTGTCCGATTAAGTATGAATAAGATATCACTACTTGAGGTTTCTCGGAGAAAGTGACTTTCTTGTTTCTAAGAACCAATGAAGAAAATCACAGAAAGAAACACTTTTAGAGTCAGGAAAAAGACGATATATCTTCCACAGTTTTGATCAGATTAACCCTAAACAGGCTGGGGGACGTTTGGCAACTCCCCCCCCTTATAGTTTTTTTTTGTCTTAGCACTCTCTTTTTTGACAATATAACCGTGAAATTTTTCGACTTTTTATGAATAGTAATTTAAAGAATTTGTTGTTAATTTTTTTTTATTTATAGGGTATGGTACAGGGCGTCTGGTCTGTGGGGAAAAAAATCTAAAATAGCCCATAACTTTTTTTTGACTTAAGCTACAGATCTAAAAACTATATTTTTTAATAGCCCATTAAAAATGCATTAAGAAACAAGTGTCACACTTTGAGATTTGTTTAAAACAAAACAAAAATATTTATTTTCTGATTTTTTGGCCCTTTTTTAACCCTCCTCCCTAGCATAGACTTGTATT